ATTCGGGATGCACAGACTGGCGAATGTCTGGGTCGATCCTGAGGATAGTAGAGGGCTTCAGCATACCAGGAGCACTGAAAAGAAACAGAGTTTCGGATTTGTAAAATGAAATGCGCATGATCTATACCTATGTTTCGTGCGCGACGACAGTCTGGCTCAATCTACATGCCTTCAAACAACTCCGCCCTACGTAGAACTATCAACTTTTATGGCCGTATGCATGTGCCCTTGTCTTTTTCCATCTTTCCTCCATACCTAGGGGCCGGCAGTTTGATTTTCCAATTCGTCTGATCAAGTCCACCGGGTCCACGAAACAGGAGAGCTCGAATTCGGAGGATAAGCAACAAAAGTGAACCCGCCTTAGAACATCTTATGCCCGGTCAAATCTGCGCTCTCGAACGATGCGTGAGGATCTATCACCAGAGACTTATAAGTCGCTGCTTCGGCCAGTCCTTGCGTTCCACTTCACTTCAATCTTACAGGCAGCAGACAATCACTCGGTTCACCGAAAGATCGAGAAAATGCAGCATATATCCCGTACGGACGATGCCACGGCTGACGGTTTTGCGGGATTAGCAGAGTTTCCGGCTCCTCAAGTCGACGATAACCTGTCCGATTCTTCGAGCTACTCTGATTCAGACAGCAGTTACTCGGACGGACTATCCAGTGACTGCTTCCTTCTCGACCCATCAGATGAGGAATCTACTTCTGACTACGGATACGCGTCCTTGACTTCTGAATCTGACAGGGAAGCACAATTCATTCCTACACAGGTGAGCCACTCGTGCAACACTGGAAGTGATTTGATTGACGAGCGAAAGGGTTATGAAACGTTGTCCGATGACATGGCTGTCCTCAGTGAGCGCGTGATCAGTGATCATGAGCAACAAAGCCGATACTGCCTAGTGATAGGATGGATCCTTGCCGAGAATCTGGAGCTATTCAAAGAGCTGGCTGCGCGGAGGTGATGTGAATTGCTGGAGGGCGAATGAAATTACGTTTGTATGCTTATCGCCTTCTCAATCCGACATTTTCATCTAAGCCCACGTCTCATTCCTCTTCGGAAAGTGGCTTTATAATATTTTCTCCAGTCAACCCAAGATTCAGATGTTTACAAATACTGAATGATAATGAATGGTGTATCTTGATCCTGAGAGTCGCGTTGTACCGGTCTTCCACACAGATCCTCAGCTGCTGCTTCTCTGTTCCTGCAATCCATGTCTTAACTTCACGTCGTGTTAGGAGCAGGCAGGTAGTCGGCGGCATAGTCTGTTCGGTCATCATACTCGGACAGGTACATTCGTCTGATGTATCCGCCGCCAATGAGATCGATGATAGGATCATAAGCCGCGAACTGGGTTCCTAGGCCAGGTTGCTCAAACCAGCTAGCAATAGGTCCCGCCTTGACCACGAACGGTCTGAGAACCTCATAGACATGATAATCATAGGGAAAAAAACCGTCTTCGGTATTCAGGTTTGTCGGAGGCAACGCTCGCTCGATGTACGGAGCACCTAGAACCGCCAAAAAGGTCCCAGACTCTGAACCGAATCGATCGATCTTCTGTCCCACCCGCAAAGTCACATTACCCCGGATCGCGATGCCTTCGATGTCCGTCACAAACCCATCTTCTGACGGATAGATGTAGGTTCCGTTGGGGCGGATATCAGTAGTCCATTTGAGGAGAAACTCGAATGGACACAGGTCACCAAATCGGGCATATGTTCGCAGTTCCGTGCTTAGAGGGAAGAAAGACGGGAGTGAGCTTGGTCCTAGACGAGGGTCTCCACAGATGTACTTGTTGTCCTGAAACGTAATGCCGGCGCAGGGATTAGGATAACATCGTGATGGGTATCGGCTGCTCTACAAGGGGGTCAGTAATCATCTGGATGTCGGTACTCGTTCTACTTACTTCTTGCGTTGAGCTAACGACACTCGACAGAGTCGTCAGAGCGAAACCAGCTGTGAAGTAGAGAAAGGTTCTCATTTTGAGTGATGGTAGCACAGAAGCCCTCACTTAGATGGTAAGAGGACGGTATATATCTATTATTCCCTTGGCCTAATCGTGGAACAGATGGGTCCATGCGCTATGCGCTAAACCGAGACAATATACATATACTAGCTCCGGATGCACAGTGCTAAGATTGCATCAACAGTGTTGAACAAGCTAAACCCATATTTTCTGTTCAACGGGCCACCAAAGCAATATTTGAGGCACCTATGTTCTTCGAAGCTAGCCGTTTAATCCAGTAAATTGGCTGGTGCTTGGTTCAGTCCAATCTAGATCGAGTTCAACATGTTGAACAAGTGATTTCGTGATGGCTGCACTGGCAAGACCCGCCAAGACCCACATTCCGGCGCGGTCGGCATAGCAGGGTGCACATTAACCGGGCTTGCGATGTCGTGCAACATTCTGCTTGCGTCTACTCTCCTAACACACATCGGTTGGACGCTCTAGAATTCCCATGTGTCTCTACTCATCTACCACAATGAGGCTCATTGATTGAACAGGAACAGCTTCATTAGTCATCAACCATTCGATGGCTTGGAGGAAATAAATCCTGGACTGACAGCGCTGTGGATCATGCTGAGCTGCTTAGGTAGCTAGAGCGATCAGCTGTCCAGCTCAACAGTGATTGGACCCCACTTACAAATGTAACCGTGAAACATCAACTGGGTGGCGTGCTATAACAATAGCGCAAGAGGAGCTTGAGGTGGTAGACGAGTGTTTCGAAGACATATCTAGAATGTCGAGCTCACTAAGATAGCCTCGTGCATGGTAATTGCTATGCGCTTCGGTGGCAGGTACTTCAATGAAGAGTTTGAATGCACTTTAACGAAAAGCTATTGTTGAGAGATTCATGTCAAAAGGGTCATGCACCTATCATTGGGAGTGGATAGTACCTTAGTCTCAGCTTCTAGCGGGATAAAGTTAGAGGAGACAAGAGAACAATCGTTTGACTCGTTTGAGCCCAGTCGGGTACGTCTCGAGAACTACTCAACTGGTTACATACAAGGTTTAGGGTTAGGTTTGCAAGAGAAGTGGGTTGGCGGGGAACTTGACTTCGTGCACGCCATGTTGTTGCATTAGACATTTTTACTAACACTATCAAATATCAATACGTGGAGATCAGTAGAAACATAGCAATCTCATCCCGGTGAGATGTAGATGAACAGTGAGATATTGCCGCTGATAGGCTGCCACGTATCTGGTAAAGCGGTCCGCGCTCCACGCGAAGCGCGACAAAGGGCGGGTTGCGACCCTGGCCAAGCATTTTGCCTCACAGGCCCAATCGATCAGCAACCAATGTGGCAAACAGTGTATTCGATAGATACATTGTTGCCAGCGCATTACACCCGTGTAGAATCCATTTGCTACCATTGAGTACGCCCAGTCGATCTGGCATACGGAAAATGTAAACTAGTCCTCCCAAGGCATTAAGACCGATATAGATGAGATACGATGGAATCATGGCTTGTTGAGAGGTGGATGACCGTAAGCTTGCATGAATCACAGGAGCCAGCATTAGGATTCCGTAGCCCAAGCAGATGGATGGGAAGTCGGGAAAGGTGCCTTCGCGGAAGTTGACGCACTTGGATAGACTGTGCGTGGCCGAGAGAACGAGAGTCAAAAGATAAGCGCCATATATCCACTTGTCATGGTGTAACTCAATGTGAACGAACGCGGAAGCGGCGACGGCCATCCAGATGATTGTTGCCGCTTCTTCCAGATGAGATGTAGGATGGCCGAGACGGGTCCATAGAGTGAGAACCGATGGGGCCAAAGCAGCGAGAAATATGATGAGGATGATGATCGTATCACTCAGTTCACTCTGTGCTTGCCTCACGGGAAGAATGGCATAATTGAAGAAATAGTTCAGTGCTGGGAGAGAGATGGTGAAAAGCTCGATTAGCCGGATAAATATGACGGGAAGATCGCTTCCTCGAACCCCAGAGAGAATCATTTTGATTTATCGGGCCAGATGGCAGAATTGAGGAGGAAAGTTAAGATGTTTTTGGGGAGCTTCAGCGAGTTCAGTGTCCTGATCCATCAATGTCGCGTAAAGGAAGATATGGTCGACGGATCTATATATAGGGTGAATACAGGAAGTCCGGTCTTGACCGATTCAGGTACAATTTTGGGCCTGCCTTAAATCTGATCAACAATTCCAGATAATTTTTGGGCACAGAAAACCCACAGAAAATGGCGGCCGAGGAGAAAAAGCCGGGCGGATAACGCTGCAACCTTTGTCAAAGCCCGTAAACTCGGATTATCTGTTCGAGTGAGACGCTTCATCAATGCTGGGTACCACAGAAAGTAGGCGCCGCTTTTTCTGCCCTGAAACAAGATCATTAGAAGTTGAAGCAATCGTGATCGCAACAGCTAGCTCTGGATGCAGCAGTTTAGTATCCTACTGCGGGTGTCAGATAAGCCAGCTCATACGAACGGCGCCACATATCAAGAGGCCTGCAGAATTTCGAGGCCTAGCAAGAGCCCTTCAGAGAATCCTGGGAATAAAGCAAGAATGAAATCAATGTATCGATTGAGAGCCAGGTATTTGGGATTTAGATTCTTCCTTTCATAAGAATCGATACCCAGTATACCACCTAATCGAGATCTACTGCTTCATCTCGCTCGCTCAATGGGGTGGAATCCAGCCCACAGCCTAGTTGTCTTTCTAGCTATCTGCGCATGCATCATCGCCGTCTTACTGGGCTATGTTCTGACCCGGTCATGCGGAAGCGAAGCATTCAATGAGGCGCCAATCAAGTTGGTCAGCGCCGAGCAGGCTTCATACATGCGGAGAGTCCGAAGTGACAACCGGCAGAAGATCTTTGACCTCCTTGACATCGAGAAACACGTTCCGCAAGGACGTTGAAAACTTACGTTACCCAA